CTTGGAAGAGGCAATTGATACAGAATGGGTGTATATGTGGGACAAATTTGGTGGTTATTTGCTACTTCTTCTGGGTTTGACAGCAAAGGCAGAAAGAGTTCAGGTGAGTTCCGAATCTACAATTTCTTTTTAAAAATATATTCTTTGTTATGTCTTTCTAAGATGAGACCATCACGGCATTTCCCAGGATGAGGTACGTTTAAGACTCTTTCTGGATAGCATTGGATTTCCTGACTTAAGTGCCAGGAAAATAAGTAAATGGAAGCCAGAGGACAGAAGACAGTTTGAAATTATCCAGGAGAGGTAGCTTTCTTTAATTGCACAATGTTGGGGTTTTCGATGCAATTAGACATTCCTATTCAGGTAGCTTAGCTACTTTCTTTTGTGTAAAATTGTAGTTATTTGAGAGAAAAGGAGATGGAAGAGGAGGTCCTTATGCAGAGACGTGAAGAAGAAGGGAGAGGTAAAGAAAGAAGGAAAGCTCTTTTGAAGAAAGAAGAGCGCAAATGGAAGGAGATTGAAGCTTCCCTTATTTCATCCATTCCTAATGCTGGTAGCAGAGAGGCGGCAGCCATGGCAGCTGCTGTACGCGCGGTTGGGGGTGATTCTATTCTTGAGGATTCCTTTGCGAGAGAGAGGGTCTCGAGTATTGCCCGTAGAATACGCACTGCTCAACTTGTGCAACGTGCACATCAGGTTCATTTTTAGTTTTTCAATCATTTTTTCTTCAGAAATGCGCTTCCCTTTCATGCTGATTGCTAGGGAACTAACTCATTAAACTTATTGACAGACTGGTATCAGTGGGACGGTTTGTGTTCTTGATGATGAACCTATGATGAGTGGTAAAAATTGTGGCCAGATTGACTCAAGTGTATGTCAAAGTCAAAAGGTTAGCTTTTCAGTTACGGTGATGATCCAACCAGATTCTGGACCTGTTTGTCTGTTTGGCACCGAATTTCAAAGGAAAATATGTTGGGAGATTCTTGTTGCCGGTTCTGAACAAGGTATTGAGGCTGGGCAAGTCGGGCTTAGATTGATAACCAAAGGTGAAAGGCAGACAACTATTGCAAAGGAGTGGTATATTGGTGCAACAAGTGTTACTGATGGAAGGTTTGACTTGCGCCCCCTTATTTTCCATTTTGTCAGCCGCTTTATGCATGGAATTAATGTGTTATACTACACTTGTTGCTTCCTATTCCTTACTACATGCATTGGCAAATTTGTTCAGTAATATTTTTGGATTGTTTTTTCCACGTCAGGTGGCATATGGTGACAATGACGATTGATGCTGACACAGGGGAGGCTACTTGCTACTTAGATGGTGGATTTGATGGCTACCAGAATGGGTTGCCTCTGAGTGTTGGTAGTGCTATTTGGGCACAAGGTGCTGAAGTTTGGTTGGGTGTAAGGCCACCCATCGATGTTGATGCATTTGGGAGATCAGATAGCGATGGGGCTGAGCCAAAGATGCATATGATGGATGTTTTCCTGTGGGGAAAGTGCTTAACTGAGGATGAGATTGCTTCGATGCATGCAGCTATTGGCTTGGCTGACTTAGACATGATTGATTTCTCCGATGACAACTGTCAATGGATGGATTCACCTCCCAGAGTATGTTTTCCTCCAGTTTGAATATTGACCTCTTATTGCAACCCGATATTTGGATTTTAATGTTCCACGTTCATACTGATAATTTTTGGCATTATCTGTTGTGTAATAGGTCGAGGATTGGGATAGTGATCCTGCTGCAGATGTTGACCTCTATGACAGAGATGATATAGATTGGGATGGGCAGTATTCGAGTGGGAGAAAAAGAAGATCAGGTCGTGAGTTCTTATGCAATGTTGATTCGTTTGCTAGGAGATATAGGAAACCCAGGATGGAGACTCAAGAAGAGATAAATCAGCGAATGCGTTCAGTTGAGTTGGCTGTCAAAGAAGCTCTCTTTGCTCGAGGTGAAAAGCAATTTACAGACCAGGAGTTTCCTCCAAATGATAGGTCTTTATTTGTGGATACACAGAATCCTCCCTCGAAATTGCAGGTAGATATTGTGGTATATATTCTCTTTTATGACCGTTTTCACCCATATGTATTATTAAGCGAAATCAAGAAGTTTAATAGCTAATCCTGAATTTATCTGAACTTGTGATTTAGGTTGTGTCTGAATGGATGAGACCAGCTTCCCTTGTAAAAGAGAATGGTAGTGATTCCGATCCTTGCTTGTTCTCTGGGTCTGCTAATCCTTCAGATGTTTGCCAGGTTTGACCAACTTTTTGTTTTGGTTTGCTTTACTTACCTCTTCCTTTAAGCCTTGATGTTATCTCTTGATAAATCATAAATTTTTAATTTATTTATAATTGCCCGCCCAGTAGGTATTTTAACTCTTTTATTGGTTCAACCGGGTGCTCTATAGGGACGTCTAGGCGATTGTTGGTTTTTAAGTGCGGTTGCAGTTTTAACAGAGGTTTCACGGATATCAGAAGTGATCATTACTCCTGACTACAATGAAGAAGGAATCTACACTGTTCGTTTTTGTATTCAGGTTATCATGTCACACTGTTATTCAATCAAGTCTGAGGATTCCTGTCTCTATATTCGTGCTTTATAGCTATAGTCCTCAGGTTTTTTGTCACTACACATTTGCAGGGAGAGTGGGTTCCTGTAGTTGTCGATGACTGGATTCCATGTGAATCAACTGGTAAACCAGCCTTTGCCACTAGTAAGAAGGTCAATGAACTCTGGGTTTCAATATTGGAAAAAGCATATGCCAAGCTCCATGGCTCTTATGAGGCACTGGAAGGTGGGTTGGTTCAGGATGCTCTTGTTGACCTAACTGGAGGAGCTGGTGAGGAAATCGACTTGCGGAGTGCTCCATCACAAATTGACCTTGCAAGTGGCAGATTATGGTCTCAATTGTTACGGTTCAAACAAGAGGATTTTCTTCTCGGAGCTGGTAGCCCGTCTGGATCTGATGTGCATGTATCATCCAGTGGCATCGTGCAGGGACATGCTTACTCTGTCCTGCAGGTATGTGTGGTCACATTTCTATATTGTTGATAAAGAAAAAAAATATTTTTGAGGAGGTAGTTTACTTATTTGATGATGGGTCAGGTGAGAGAGGTTGATGGGCATAAACTGGTTCAAATCCGAAACCCATGGGCTAATGAGGTTGAGTGGAATGGTCCCTGGTCAGACTCGTCTCCCGAGTGGACCGACAGGATGAAACACAAACTGAAGCATGTTCCTCAGGTAGTTTCACTTCATTTTCTTAAGCCTCGTTCCTTAAAATGTTATTTGAATAAGATTTTACGTTGCTTTTAAGTTTTAATGCGATTCTTCACAGGTCATGGTTCATAGATATTCAATTATTTGTACTCTTCTTCAGTACAACAGTTATGATTGTTTTGTCATATATTACACGTATGCAAATCATGTAAAGGCACACAAATGCTTTACATGCACTATAGTGTTAAGTTAGCACATGCATATCTACACACATGAGATGTGAATCCCTGACCTTGTAAACATTTTGTCCAACAGTCAAAAGAAGGTATATTCTGGATGTCCTGGCAAGACTTTCAGATCCATTTCAGATCAATTTATGTTTGCCGGGTCTACCCTCCCGAGATGCGTTATTCAGTTCATGGCCAATGGCGAGGTTACAGTGCTGGTGGCTGCCAAGATTATAGCTCATGGCATCAAAATCCACAATTCCGGCTAAGGGCTACTGGTCCTGATGCATCTTTGCCCGTTCATGTTTTCATTACCTTAACTCAGGTTTATATAATCAATTACCTGTGTCATATATAACTTTCTCCCGGGAAAAAAAGAGATATCATCTTCCCACTTTCACTTGCAGGGCGTAGGTTTCTCAAGAACAACTCCTGGGTTTCGTAATTATCAGTCTAGCCATGATTCTCAGTTGTTCTACATCGGAATGAGGATACTTAAAACTCGTGGGTGTCGAGCAGCTTACAATATATACCTTCATGAATCTGTCGGTGGAACAGACTACGTGAATTCTCGAGAGATATCGTGTGAAATGGTTCTGGATCCTGATCCTAAGGGCTATACCATTGTCCCAACAACTATACATCCTGGGGAAGAAGCGCCCTTTGTTCTATCCGTCTTCACAAAATCATCGGTTGTCCTTGAAACTTTATGATCTTCCACATAGCCAGATGGTTCTCTCTCCTTTTCAGCGAAGGGCACACTGTCAGAATCTCTTCAGTGCTTGTGTTGTTCAAGGAGCTTAATACCAAAAGGGGTCACCAAACTTGTCAATGTAAGATCATATGTTGGCCCAACTTCTCGCTTCAACCTCGGCAAAGGTAACCTTCTCCTTGTGCCATGACTGTTCTGTTTCTGTTCATTCAACATCCAAACACTCTGTATCGTTTCTGACTTTGGTCTTAACAATCCTAGACAGAATCTGAAAGTAATGATTCTTAGCCATGGTAGCTCCTGAGTCTGAGCTGTGACACAGTATTCAATTCACCTGCTGCTACTGAACTGCCATGCGAAGCTTGCAGCTCAGAGAAACCATTCTCATGATCGCAGTTGGTTAATGCAAATTTCATATCATGTTTGTTGCGCAAGAGAGGCGGATTTTGCAGGCTTGCCTTCTGTCATTTGCATGCTGGCACTCCAGATGGATGATGGCTCATGCGACAAGGCATAAAAAATGTACATTTTGTAGGTATTGTAACTGAGTATAGGTTTATTCATGTAAATGGTGTTTTAGCTGCAGTTTTGTTGTGTTGTAAGTTTCAAGACACTAACTTGTGTGCACAGTTGTTTCACTATCTTTATTGTCATTCACTCTCTCTCGTATAACATAAGGGCACGTCACTGTAACAAGGCACTGTTAACTTTTTAATGTCCTGAGGAATGCTTAGCTTCTCAAGAAGCTGATAACCTTTCATTTGGACCAGGAGCATGCGGGTAGACAGAGTAATGTCAGATTATTCATGAGTTAAGACTGTAAGAATTTTGTTCAGTTCTCTCAGAAGTAGAATCACTGAAACGGTTCGAGAGTACAATGAGAAAGATTAAGATGAGTTTCACAAACATTACATGGACAACATGAGTAAAAAGTCGCAGCAAAATATCAGTGCCTCAATTGTTGATCTGTGATGAAACAACAAAACGAAAGAAGAGGCACCTGAAAAACCCCACAAACGAAAAATATTACAGATGATCCTGTTCCCTTTTCAATCTTTTCTCCGGTCTGAAGAATTTCGATAGCGTTTCTAATCCCATCCTCGAAAAGTCGAACTTTTACTCCAACTCTCTTGTGTCGTATATTTTTCTCCCTCGCTTTCTTTCAGTCAGAATCACTCTCCATGCTCCCCATTGCCTTCAACCCTCTTGGTCTCTACACTCATAAATGAAAATCTCAAGCACAGAGTTTTGGACAAAGGAATTGTGTTTTGTATATATATATATCAAGGTTCAATCTAATTTCTTCATTGAAAGGACGGAAACCCATAAACACGCATTACATGGAAATAGAAGAGAGCAAAATCTAATACCTTCTTTGAAGTTTTCTTCTCTCTTACTTCATATCTCTCTTTGCACAAATCGGATAACCATGCTCCCGGACTCACCAGCTGCATCATCAGTACGATGAAGCTGAAGGAACTATCAATCAGAGCAAAACCGAAAAAAACTTAAGGACTATGAGAGAGCCTTACGAGCAATGTCCTCTGAACCAACTTGGCTCTTTTCTTAGGTCTTTGAGGGAGCTTACACCCCTTCATAGCCATGAAATCTTCTTCCTTCTCTTTGTTTGATAATGTTATGAACAGCTTTGGCCATACCAGCTTTTTGTTTTCCTTCACAGTATCCTTTGGAATTTTCCCATTCTCATCCAAACCCATTGAACCTCTTGTTGTATAATACCTGTCTTCTTTCTCAGGGGATGCTACATTGGATCTTCGGACATTGATTGGGGAATCCATGATCCTATCACCGTAAAAACATACATTTGTCTAAACCATAACCTAAAGTCACTCCCAACAAAAAACATCTCACAACCATTTCGACTTACTTGTTTGGACGGGAGGGCGATCCTCTCTCAGAAGACACAAGACGGGAACCGAGTTTTCGCTTAGTCAAGCAATCAGTTGATTTGCCATTTGTAAAGTTTTGGTCTTTCTTCACCTTCATACATCTAACCCTCTTTCTCTCCCCCCACTGCAACACAAAATCTGCCTCTGAGGTTCCACTCCCTCTTTGCCCCTTCACCTCCTTCTCCATTATACAACACACTCACCCTAGCCTTGCACAAAGGTAAACTACGAAACACAAGCAAAAAAGAAAAGAAATATCAGTAGAAACTACGGAAGTTCATCATTTTTTCAGTGTTGATATCAGACATACCAAGACAGACAAGCATAAGTAGATAAGATCACAAGACAAAAGTAAATTAGAAAGTTCCTACCATTTATAGAAATGAGAGCGTATCAGATGCAGAAATCATACAACGAGGAAAAAATCCACACGGGTTACTGTTTCTCATTCCATCGTTTTCAGAAATCTAGCAATTGGATGAGACAAACCAGAGGAAAAACAATTAGCTGGGAAATCACACGATTCACTGACCTCAAGATCTGCAACTCAAATTACACAGTGACGTAGCTTTCACAATTCCAGAATTACCCTGCAATTAGCAGTGGGTTATAAAGCTAAGAACTTTGGAGAAAAGAAATGCGGGAACTGTAGAAACCAAATTTCCGAGGACAAGAAATTTCAACTCCAAATTTTCAGGCCCACCATTGTATTTTCTCAGCAACCAAACAGAAACAGTAGCTTACAGAAACCATAAAGAGAAGCAGATTATGAGAACACTTACAAGAAGAAATCTTCATGAAGTCATGAGCGAACCCAGAAAGTTTTTTGGCAGAGGAAGAGAAAAGGTGCTTCCTTTTAATCTCTCTCTCGAAGAAAGACTCAAACTCAATCGAGAAACTGCGAGACAATATTAAAAGACAAAGAGATTTTCAGATTTACGATGAACCAGAAGATCGGAAACTGCCGTCTCCTGTGTTATCTTCTTCAGCAAAAACTGTTTCGCCCTCTGGCCTCAATGACGTTCACCCTTTTAGCCAAACTTTTTTTTTTTTCATTTTCTGAGTTTATTTATTTTATTTTCTTAAATATCTTACAGTCATTTTAGTTTTCTCGTTAAATAACAACCGTCAGATGGAAAACGGACGGTCAGATGGGAACTTAAGGAACTGACCAGTCATGAGGAGTGGGAAAGAACGAAGAGTGTAATGTTTCTGGATTATAGCAAGTAGGAATACGACACGTGTGAAAATACATAAGGACCACGTGGTGCCACCGCACTGGATAATTTCCCTGATGCAGTTATAAAGAAGATTTTGCTTTCTGGAGTTTCGCTCACGCGCTCCTAAACTCCGAATTTTCGGATTTGACCGCGTGGGGTTATATGACCTAGGGATTTTGGAGTCGTGTACCTCACGCGCTCATGGTGCGCGTGGGACAGGTAAATATTTTGGAAAAATAAATTGGGCCGTGGGAAAATCTGCGTGCAGTTAATTGGGCCTGATTTTGTGGCAAGAAGAGCCACTAATTTTCTTCCACATCTTCCGCACAATAGTGGGTTTTTTTTTCTCTCTCTAAAATTAAATACCCCTTTAAAAATAATAAATTGGATTATTTGATAGATCTTTTTATAAATATAAAATTAATATATAACGGATACAAAAACCCTCGGGATGATAAATATTATTCAAAATGCGTGTGCGTGTGTATATACTATATACGTATCTTAAAAGGCCAAAAGCATGGTGAGGCTTCTTCACTCACTATTCGCTAATGCAGATTCATAAATTGTTGCGTTTCTTTGACTGTATAATGGAGATAAATATATTGTTAAGATATTAAATATTTATAGAAATTAAAAACGGTGAAGCTTTTCCTAAGAGGGTGGTGGTTGGTCATTTTCATAGTTTGGTGTGAACAAACATTAAGTATTCTAAAGTTTCAACAAAACCCTAAACGGGCGATCATATGCCCATTAATTAAGCAATCACCTCTAATCTCTTCTCTGATTTTTTTTAAGAGATTTACCATCATTTTTGTCGTGTAACATGCTCTTGATTCTTGATAGTTTTTTTACATTATAATATGGTATATAGGAAAGAAACGTATCATGTACTTGTTTGAACTCATATAATATAAAGAGCAGAAAAAATAATGCGATATCCTTGAATGAAAAAGAAAGAAATATCAATACGTGTATATATATATATATACGTATATATATATATATATAATTTAAGAACAACCATGTGAAGAGCAATAAGCAAGCAGTGGCAGACCCATGTACAATACAATGAGATCCTTTGTCCCCATTGTTTTAACTAGAAAATTAAATTTCTTTATAAATTTATAATTTTTTAAATAAAAATGTTAAATGCTCCCTATATTAAAATATTAAAATTACTTTACCCCTTTTATAAATTACCCTAGACCAGCCACTGCCAATACGTAACTATAAACCAAAATAACATTTAAAAAAAAAAACTCAAAGTGACATTGTGAGGTTGAAGAGAAGAAACCCGAGGGTAAGAAAGAATGGTTGTACCTTAGTTAGCTATATAAATACCCCACCATCTCCACAGGCACACATCTCTCTCTCTCTCTCTCTCCCTCCCTTCATAAATTATCAAAACAAGAAGAGAGAAAAGTTCAAGTGACAATAAACAGGGAGACATGAGGTTCATGGTGGTGGTTGTCTTGGTGGCGGCGGTGGCCTTCTCCGCCGCGGGAAAGATGGAGACGGCGACGGCGGCAGCGGCTCCGGCACCGAGCCCTACATCTGATGCTACTGTGTTTGTTCCCACGCTGTTTGCTCCATTTGCTGCTTTTGTCTTCGGTTTCTTTTTCTGAGAGCTCTCACATTCTTATGGAGTGTTTTTTTTTTCCTTGTTTTAATTTCTTGATCTTGTTATTGCCTTTTGTTTTTCCATCCATATATGGCTTTGATGTCTCTTATTTTCTTTTTAAATTATTATATTTTTATTTTGGGATGATGACCCTAATGTTTTGTTGGTGATTTGAGAGTATACTTTGTATCTATTGTACGCATGTATGTATGTATATAAGTTGCATGTGCCACACGCTGTTTTTTGTTCATTTGGATCCCATGTAAAACATCATTCCAAGCTGTTATAACGTAGTTTATTTGACCTATTGATCTATGTTGAGAATCAAACTAAGACCAATAAGACACTTAAATTTTCAAATGTATCAAAAGATGTGAAACAGCTGTCAAACTTTGGAAGGAAGAGTGGGAATATGCGGGCATCATGGTCATCGATCACCATCATCGTCATCATCATGATGGCATCTATGGATGAGAAGTCATGTATGTTATGCGAAGCTTCAAAAACAAACCCACCTACTAAGGTTACCGTTTCATCATCATCTGATCATCATCATCATCATCATGGCATATATGGATTGGAGTGTATGGGAAGAATCAGATAAGAATATGACGATGCATGTGAGATGCAGAAAAAGCAAAGAGGGAAGCAGCATAAGGGGTCCATATTAATACCTAAGCTGCTGGAGAAAATTGAAGTATAATCCCTCCTTTTGTCGTTTCCTTTCATCCTCCTTTCCCATCTTCTCTTTTGTGACCTGCCAATCATAGTTACAGGGACATACAAAATATATGTATGAATATGACTGCAAGTGAATGTATAAAGCCAAAGTTTCTCCAGACCCACGTTGAGATAACTTACCACCTAAGGAATTTGGACAGACTCCATGGAGAATTCAATAGTGTATATGTCCTGATAAGAGCAGAGATGAATGAATATTTGCGGTACCCTAAATGCTAAACCTTTTTTTTTTTTACAGATTTCATAAAACATCGACAGAAAACTTGTGACTTACATCCACTATCTCTAAAAACCCATTTCGTTCCTACTTGTTCATGACTTTTGGTACATCTCTAGTTAAAATCAGTGTAGAGAAACTACTTGGGTTCAAACTTGTGATTTATCTGGTTGCCTTGAAAGCTCTTTGTCAGCAAAATGAAGCAAACGTCTGAGCCTCAGAACCATATCGCAGTGAAAAGGCAAAGCCGTTCGCCTGTCACGGTATGCTGGACTTACAGTCATCCATGATAGAGCATGGAGTTCTGCTGCAATGGACTCGAGTATCAGATGGGTTTCGACCTCGAAATCTCTTGTTTCTTTGGTCCGAATCCCTCCTTGGAGAATTTTGTCATACCCACCATAATAGTCTACGAGACTGACAGAGAGCACCGAGGGCCATTCTTCTTTCATGTTCATCCTCGATTCCTTTCTCAAGGAAGGCACGGCCTTAGAGACAACAAAACCGGTTGACAACGGGATCGCGCTGCCCTTGCTATGGAGGAGGTGAGCGAGTGGAGGAGATTCGGCAGTTAAACATGTCGGAAGTTGAAGCGGACTCGGGTGTAAAAAACGCATGTTTGGCGATGGTATTAGCATGTAGGAAACAGACGTAGACCCGAGAGACCGGACAGGGGTGAAACCTTCGAGATAACTTAATGAACCCAAACTGTTACCACTCTGGCCACCACCACCTGGAAAATCACAAGGACAACGTTACACGCGAGTAAATTGTTTCTTGCTTTACCAATTCCACATGAATATGATCGGAAAAGATGCATATGTGAATCAATAAAGGAAAGAACACTGACCAGGAGATACTGACTCGGCAGGGTAGACAAAATGTAGAGAATGGTCAAGTGAAATAGATGCAAAACTGATGCTATGAACACACTGAAGCAATCCCCTAGGGGTGTCAGCGACAGTTTGAGTACCCATGATCTGATTTCTTCCAGCAGCTTGTCCAATACCGCCTTTTACAAAGGTAGACGGCTTTGCATGAGAGGTGTAAAGATTGCTAGTTGATGAGGGCAGGGATCTCTCTTGAATCAGACTCAGATCCTGCTGTTGCAACGAAGTTCCATTGCTGTTGGTTGCTATGCCTGTAGGCACAGATCGCCGAAGCTGAATAGGCCACTTCTTAATCTCAGGACCTCCAGCTGTGAAAATTGCTTTCTGCCATTCTGTTGAACATCGATTCAGAACAAATAACAACACTGGCATTAGACAACAAAACGGTGCATGACAACCCTAGTAATTCCCTAACCGGGTTTGGCAATGAAAGCAAAACACAGGGAAAAGGAAAAGCAAAAAAGATCAACCCGTAGTCGAGAAAAATAATTTAGAAGTACCTTGATATTCAAGCTCAAAGAAATTCCCAATGCGAGTAACCACAAAATCTCTGGGCTTGAAGGATCCAGTATCAGGAGAAGAGCATGTTTGTAGGATCTGACACCCCTGCTGCAAAACTTGTCCAAAAAGACATTGCAGTCCTTTTGTATCCTGTCTACTGCTGATTCCACCAAAGGGAAATATATGGCTGTCGAGAAGTTCACCCCTTGCATCAGTCCAGATGCTTACAAGCCACCTCCAGTCCTCTGTCCAACCATAACAACAATGCAGGCTTGGAAGAACATTTTCATCAAGCTGGGATACATCAACCTGAGAACTGGATCCTGAATTTATACCTTCCATTGAACTCCCACTACGTCCGAAACCTCTGCTACCATCCTCAGGTATCGGTTTCGAAGCCTCCGACCCCATGCCAGCAAAAGTAGGTGAAACTCCATGCTCTACAGAACCAGGTTCAGAAAGGATGAAAAGTGGCTCAAACAAATAGGAAATCTCATCACTTAGGTAGAAATCCCCGTTTCTGCTTGGATCGCAGCTTAATGCTCCAGATCTTGCTGTTTGCCAGGAATTATCCCAAGCACCAGGTCTCAAGCTAGCATCAATTTCACTCTCTCTCGGTAGTGAAGTTCCTGTCATTCGAGAACCAACACAGTCCTTCCATATGCCTGGAATTGAGCTCATCGGTGTCAAGACTGAAGGGGATCTGCTTGGCAAATTAGATGACAGAAATGCATCATTAGGCGATCCTCTTGAAACTCTACGTGCCTTGTTGTATACAGCAAAAGCAATGTCCTTCAGAATGACAAGCTCATTAAAAGTTGGACTTGTTATCCGGAAAATAGCATTGACAGCCACCACTTGCAGGACTAGTTTAGGAACAGTAAACCCCGAAAGCACTGGGATTTGAGATATCGATGTTTCATCTACAGCAGCAGAACCACTCAACGCCCTGGCGACCTGACTATGGAGTATAGACCTCCTGTCTCTATCTGACTGTAAAATTACTGATCCAAGAGCAATAGATGATTCTATTACCGTCTTTAAGACTGCTGAAGGGTCAGGAAATGGACACACAACGTACACAACCTGCATAAAAAGGAAATAACCCGTGAAAAGCAGAAACCAGCAAATATTGATACAAATGGGTAAAGAAGCATTGACCTAAGCTAAACTTAAAGTTTCTCCATCGCATGCTTACCATACAGGGACTACCAGTTCCTTCCTTCTGGTTCGTATGTAGACAAGATCCAAGCTTTAGTCCCTTTAGTGCATTTGATAGGGACTTCAGATAGCTCGTCACATTCCACCCATTTGACAGAGACAAAAAATAGTCACTTAGCGATCCCAAAAGTGATGTATTATTGCTTTCAATCTTCATAGACTGAGGGCAATCAAGCAGAACAAAGCCAGATGATGACAACTTCCCAGAGTCTATTTCCATTTGATTTCCAACACTCTGGGGAAAATGGGTTCCCAGCCTGCACGTCTCATAAACTATATAGCAATAGGTACACAATAAAAATGATACGGAGCATCAGAACTCAAGCGCTTTTCACAAAAAGATTTCAACAGGAACGAGCTCCAACAATGTCAAACATCACCCCTTACTATGGTAGTGTAGCTGACTCACCAGTTCCAAGTTGCTGGAAGAAATCAGTGGCAGCAGAGATTAGAGGATCGATATCTGGGCATACTACGCTATAACTAATCTGCAAGTAACAGAGTAAACCCATGGGTATCTGAACAGAAAAGATAGTCAACGGATCTAATTTCTACGAAAGCAAATGCAAAACTGACAGAAGGTTTCAAAAAAATGCTAACATTTTTTGCCAGAGCATAGGGCTCAAAAGGGGCCTTTTCCCACTGAGGCAAGGAATTTGGTGACGTTTTAAGCCAGTCATCTTGGTATCTGTCACAGAGAAAGGGTGCACAAAAGGTAAAGAAAACCCGAATTTTCTGGACCAAACCCACAGAAACCATGGTGTAAAATAAGAAAAAACTTAGGATTACAGAGGCAATCATGCTCTTACCCAGGCTCAAAATGATCATTTTAAGCCAGGCTCACAAGTGCATTTTCATCAATACCAAAATCTTTAACAGAAATGTTTTCACCCACTACTAAGACAACAGAGACTTGCGGATACATACCCAAGAAGTATAGAAGGTGATGGAAGAACAAAAATTGTCGGTCTGCGTAATTCTGAGCTGTAGGCGTCTTGGCTCTGAGCTGTATCATCCGATTTTCCACCATCTACTGCATTAGAAACTGCATTTACGCCAGAATAGATTTTTTTTTAGAAACTGAATTGTCAACTCAAGAATACTAAACATGCATAAAATATAAATAGAGTATTCCAAAATGGTGATCCAGCAGACTAACATGTAGGATCATAATTTTAACTCCTACCTTCACTAAGGGCTGACTCAGCAGTAGACCCCTCAGGAAGGGCTCCTCCATCCCCTGATTGACTGCGGCCTTTGCACCAATCTGTGACAGTTAATGGACCATCCAACTGGCTAAACGCAGACTTAAGAGCTGTTTTAATATCAGACTGCAGTAGATTAATTACAGATGAAGGAAGAATCTGGAAAAGAGAAAAAAAAAATCAGGATTCAGGTCAGTGGTCAAAATAGTCAAGAGTAAATATTGAAAAATATCATCCTGATACATGTAAATGTTTAGTAGGCCAGTAAGAGAACTGCAGGTAGCGACGAGGTAAGTATGAACAAGCTTCACTGCTTTACGTGACAGATTTTTTACCACTTAATGGCACAAAGAAAATTGATTTCATTCATTAGTACTGATCCTATAAGATTGGAAAGTTTACCTCAGCAGAAAGCGGATCTACTAACTTTACACCGGCAATATCTAGAGAATGACACGAGGCCAGAGTTCCCCCACAACCCGCATGGATACTTGATGGGCCACATGAAAGTTCACGCCTCCACAGTTCTTGCAGTGCAAGCCAGCCATAAGGCCCGTCACCACAGTCTGAATCCAGTGCTAAATCAACAAAAGAAGTAGCTTGCTGTACAAGCAGCGCTATGCCATCAAGAAGCTCCTGCAGTGGCTGCCTTTGACCATAAGAAAGTAAGCTATCTTCGTTGAAAGAACTATGGGTCAAAGATGAGCCTGCTTCCATATTTGGTGAATCAGCAGGTTTAACTGCTTTTGGGACGCCCACAGTACGCCACACACCAACTGGTGCACTCAGGCGACTATCCAACATTCCTCCATCAAGATCACCGGCTATTCTGGTAGGTATGTCTTTCTTCTTGTCATTCCTAACAGATATGTCTGACTGAGTACCAAGTGCAATGGGCAGCTGAGTAAGACAAGAATTTCCATTAAACCTGGCCAAACTAATGGGTGAGCTGTGATATGGAGAAATGACCATGTGCCGCATCCTACACATGAAAGCTTGGAACATAATGCTTTCAACATCAGTTGCCAGCAAGGTCTTTGAAGACAACAAAATACTACCGGCAGCAGATGCACCGTCTGTCTTTTTTCCATGTACTGGTTTTATAGTATTAGCAGAACTATAATTTGAAAACTGAGTTTCAGAATCGCCCTCCTTTCTACTGTCATCACTGTTTGCAGTAGGTCGCTTATCATTTTGAACCCTTCTTCCCTCCACCTGAGTGTAATACTTCCTTGGTCCATCATACTTACCAATTAATGCTTTTGATCCAAGCATCACCTTATCGTCTGATCCATCAGAATCAGTGGAAGGTGCTGTTGCACCATATACAAGGTCATTTGTTCTTGAATTTGAACTTTCTGCTTTACGAGATTGGGGAAGATAGGGGCTTTTGAAAAAGGTGTAGAATATCTCACTTGCCGGAGTTTCTACAGCTCCATACTCAGGAGCAAATGCCATCATAGCTTCTGCTTTCATCAAATGATCGAACTCGCCAGTAGAAGAGCCCGGCATTTGGCTTAATGAAACAGATGCAACATTGTTCATGAGGACCTCTTGATTGTTGTTAAGACACTCATCCATGACAGGAGGAACATGATTAAAGCTCTCAAATGAAGGCAAGCCTACAGGCAAAAGCATCTGGTCCGATACATCCATCATACCCACAGGACTAGAACCTACATCAGCACAATCTGGAGGAAACATGAGTGCCTGCGTCTCTGCTGTCCCTGGAGGCTGGATAAACAGTATATCATCAGTGATCATCAGAGAATGATAAAATACCAAAGACAGCAAAAGTTTAAGGCACATGGAGAACATACAAATTTTCCCGACACCACCATAAAAAGAAAACATCTCTAGAATTAATTCCAGATATCAAAGCTTTTCGGACTTGCTAGCTACCGGTTCAAAATTTATATGTTAAAAACAGAGTACTTTATTTCCCCACACAACAGAGAAATAGAAGGAATCTCTGGATTACTATGAATAACAAAAGATGGGTACTACCTCCCCAAAAGGCAAAGCATCGTTTTCAAAGAAGTCACCAAAATCTCCAAACTCAGATAGGAGAGCCTGGATATCCATGCCAGCTCCTCTATCATCATCATCCCAGTCCCAACCAATTTGATCATTTGCAATGCCTGCAACACCCAGCATACCCAACATATTAGCTTCAGGGGAACTTATTCCTGATCTGTATCCTTCTTACAAAGTTGCATCAGCGACTGTACCTACTTGACCGAATGACTCTCCCATCCCTATTCGGGGCCGCTTGGAACCCTGCGTGATGAATTGAGCTAACCAATTATGCTAATCAACCCACGGTATACAAGGAAAAAACACTAAATCATGCGGTCTATCGTAGCTCACAAGTAAATGCTATCACCGATAATTCATTTTTCTCAACAGTGACATGCCAAATCTGCATCCTCCATAAACAATAAAGCCATACCATCTTTGGACGATCATACTCCAGCTGATCATTAGAAGATAGACCTGATTGCCTGCATGACAGAGAATCTGCATCTGCCTCAAGGTCACCAGTTCTTGAGGCCATCTTGCCATCACTCCCACTAGAAGCGCTGCTTGTCGAACTAATGCTGCTACTATTGCTGCTGCCGCTGCTATTATAACCATTTTGCATGTAGAATCCATCACTCCTATTTTCAGATGCTCCAGGAAAATCAAAATCACCAGCCCTGCGTATACAAAAGTATCACTTTTCAGGAACCATGTACTGAGGACCTGAGGTGCTCTCTCTTGTCACTTAGCAACTCCCCCTCTTCCAAATAAACATTCTACTGACATTAGCATGGGAAAAAAAAGAAGCTCCAGTCTACAGCTAACTGTTGCTCTATGTGCAAACGAAATGCATAAAAAGTATTTAAAAGTAAAAGTATAGAAATTGTATCACTAAGGTTTGCAATGTTAGATCAAAGCTCGGAAAATTCCAAAAAAAAAGTCATTTCTGAATACTCCAACTTAGTCATATGTGTTGAATAAAGCTTTGTTTTGTTGTCACTTTGTTTTATTTGCATCGCTTAGTTTCTCACGTAAGTTAGGAATTGCATTTCCAAGTCTTAGTCCCGTGTGTTTGTTCCCACTGTTCGAAATATAATTGTAATGCTCTTATAGTTGAAAAATCAACAAAATAATAAAAAAACTGATTTACTATAAAAAATAAACTTACCAGTGCATGAATAATGATGAGCCTGCTAATGACGGTCCTAGCCAGTTTTGAAGCCAAAATCTGCATATATGAATTCATCTTGCATCAGCACCAAGCAGAAGGGAGGCAACAAGTAGTAGATCTTTCACAGGTTGGTGCTATCTAATATGGACCTGAGACAAATCTTAAAATTCCATCTAAAAATTCCAAGCGACGTGGTCTCAATACAAGGAATGCACAAATGCACGCCCACACAGAGACCAAATTGAAGAAACCTGGAACATATTTTCATGTTGACTACTGCATAAAAAAAAGCAACAAATCACACAGGGAGGTTATAATACCCCCAAGAAATTTGTATGCTTCAATAGACAACACCATTTAGAAACACCTAATTGACCAGATTAGTCAACATCAACAGCCAATCAGGACCTTTGCCATGAAGCATTTACTAATATAGATTTCAAATCCATTTACCTTTTTAAGGAAAATTTAGCAAATGTTGACTGCAGGACTGGCACAAGCACTGCCTCGGCTGGATATATGAACGTTTTCCCATACAATGAAAAATGTTCTGGTAACACCTTCCGATTGCCCTTACCTCCTATTGACGATTCGGGATAATGATTCATAGGTAAGTTCATGGTAAAGTTCGAAAGTGTTTGTCCTGTGTTGTCGTTCAACGATCGACAGCAACCAAGTTTAACTTCCACATAGCAATTTCGGCTACTCATCGGACTACCAGATCCTTGTCCAACATGTGAAGGAAGGCCAATATATCCGCTTGGTGTCCTAAAATTCCCAGAGCTGTATGAGGAAGAACTTAAATATTAGTTGAGAACATTTGTTCAACATCGACAGATTAAGGGATAGGCATCTCACAAAGATGTCGGCCTAGGCCTTAGGAAACAGAGACATGAAATGTACCCGAAGTAAACTTGCTTGACAAGGTCATTGGGACAAAATCCAGTGAGGTTGCCTCGGATTCCATGAGGAGAAACGATTACTGGTGGGCATAGCAGAAAGCTATCAGAGGCATTTCTAATAGCAGATATTTCCGGCTTTGTTGAAGCATGAAAGACGTGAGGCATAACAAAATATTGCAAGTTTCAAACAAAGGCATTTTATTCAAAAGAATAATATGTAAAAGTACATAATACCAATTATCTTCTTCCTAAGAAAAGCAAAGCAAAATAAAAAAAACAGGCACACTCTCTTGTACAAATATGTTCAAACAAAGCTAATATCTTCTCAACTCAAAATCGAAGTAGGCCGCCACAATTGCCTTTAAAATATACTTTGTTTAGTTTCGCAAGAAGAAGAGAGCTTTCTTCTTTCCTTCTTTTCTCTTTTGTGTAATTCATTGTTCATTAATTCCTAAATATCATATGATTTTATAATTTGGTTCATTGGGATTGTCGAGCACAAACGGATCATCAAACACTTAAAGGTAGTTGTTAAAAAACCATTGGATGTATGATAGAGGTGACAAGATTAACCACTAGGAACCATCAATCCTCTTTTTTAATCTGTAAAGGACATCCAGCTAATAACGAGCTGAACTTTTTATATTTTTCAGTATCATTCAACACTCTAGAAAATCAACTAACCTGGAAACCTGTAGCTGGAATTTTTCAACGAACTCCTTAATAGTCTTTCAGCATCACCACTTGAGAGTGTCCGAACATTCCTTTGAACATTGATTTCAGTGTTAGTCTAATGACTACATGCAGAACCATAAGACATATATAAAACCAACATCAGGACAGTTATAGGTTTTACAAACTTGGCAGTTATAATGACATGGACAAAAATCGCTTCTTCGGTTGAAGCAAAGACAAATTCAACTGTAGGTTGTCCCCCCCTGCATAAATATGAGAAAAGATTAAACCATGAGATATTCCAAATACCATACTGTGAAAATACACCAAGCACAGACACAGATATAATATATATACATACATATATATATATATCGTTTTTGCATTTGCTGATACATAAAACTGGGAAAAACCAAGTCTTGCAGTGAAAATAAAATAGCATTTAGAGCTGGGGAAACCTATACAACAATAACTACCTGCCTAGTGAGGACCCTCCTACTCTTTTCTTTTCTATTCGAACTAACAAGCATCAGCAAGAAGAACAAGCGATAAACAAAAGCTAGAACAGAAAGAGATGTTCGCTCATGGAAAAGAATAATGGTCCAACAATCCAAAGAAACTCAAATCTGACAAGGCCTTGATGAACTAAACCGTAATAGATTGCAGATACAGGTACAGCCACATACAGCATAGTTTTTTATTCCACGATGTTAAAAACCTGATTAAAGGGCAGAAGCTCTACTAAAGGCACATATTAATCATATGATTTTCATATTTGCTAACCAGTGATAGCCAACAAAAATCATGCAAACCTGAAATATTCTTCGCTTTGAGAAGCATTGAATTTCGAAAATACATCTCCAAACCTCATGTAGAAAAGTCCATGTAGTGCTCTGTCAATACCAATACATTATTCGTCAATATAGTGCCTTGATCCTTTTATGCTGGGAAGTCAGCAGACTCTAACCTTTCAATGCAATTACGCAAAGCCTGGGAAAGGGCAACAGAAACCTCTTCAGAGTCCCCAGGAGCCACCCAAAGTCCTGACGCAACAACTTTCACAAGACAGACGCGAAAGTACAGACATAAATACTAGCACAACCATAGACCACATCACTTGCACTAAAAGGTCAAGATCAAAACAGATATAATATGCATGTGTTTGTGGATGTAATGAAACACTCAATCATTGAGCAACAATCATTAAAGCGATAATAAGGCATGATACCTCTGAGTTTTGAGACTGCAGACTGAGCATTATCAGTAACCGATGAATGCCGCCCAGGGACAAAGAGCCAAAGCTTGATCTTTTCATCTGGGCAGACAGCAAAGATGATATTCAGATCCAAATAAAAGCTTATAAGATTACATACCACAGGGTGCCTCAACTTTACCAGGGTTGTATACACCTTGAGATGGATCCCAAGGTCCAATAAAAGAATTTGTCCATGTGCTGAGAAAACCTTCCTTCTGCAACCGTAGATGAGACGAAAGCACAAGATATGTTGCAATATCATTCTGTTCAGCTCTTGCACTGTACAATCTCAGATGAAACAATAAACAATCAGCACACTTTCCTTAAATAAACTAAAGTCTATCGATAGTGTCTCCTTTACGAAGAAAGCAATTCATAAACCTAACCTTCTATCAGGAGACGGATTCAGCTCGGATTCACTTGGAATTAACTGAAACCATGATACATCACGCAGACCTCCCTATAAAAACCATCAAAAGATGTAATAAGAACACCTAGTGCACAAGTCTTGTTGAGGTCAATATACAACATCAATGTCATCAGATCCATCTAATATTTTGAGGTTCACGGAAACACTAGTGGAGTATATATTCCTAACCAAATAACATTTTCCAATGTCATGCAACAATGATTATAATAAGAAGAACACATTGAATTTCATTGCACAGCCTACAGAATTACATGGCTGTACTTGGGGACTGTGAGATTCACATACTTCAAGTGTGTAAACTTTGAAAAAAAAATCAAACTTTTTGAAGAGTGAAAACATGAACCAGGAGAGAGTAATTGAATCAACCGAAACCAACTACCCAAAATCAAATGATCTTTATACAGACCTATTCTATAGTCAACAGAAAGTGTGATGAAACCTCAAAATGGATTCCCCTTATCATAGCTCCATTCGTGACATTATGTCAAATTAGATGCACAAACCAATAAATCAGGCAGTTACCCAGATCGTAACCTATTGCATCATAGTTGAAAGACAATAGAAAGGACCAACCCAGTTCGTATCCCCATCCAGTGGGGGTGCTGGGAAGTGAATATACTAGGCCACCTTACCCCTACATTTTAATGTAGAGGTGGATTTGAAAGACAATGCTCCTTGAAATTTATTTTCTGTGAAGCAGAAAAAATCTAGTCCCAGAACAGCAGATGAATCCAAACAGCTAAATCAAGTTTCTAACATGCTACGGAGTTGTACCAGAGCCAAGAAATTCAACTAGAACAGTAACTAATCGTACTGAAAAAAATCTCAAGAGAGTATGCGGAAGGGTTTTCAGTTCAGAAAAACTTAGATGATAATACATCAGCAGTAAAGTACAGGGAACTTACAATTCTGAAAACGTTAGTCCACATGACGAAAATGTTTATTAGACCTTGAAGAAAATTCTCGAATCCTTTTCTGCACGTATAGGCTATAAACCACTTCCCAAGGACCCCCAATCCATCTTAAAACCTGCAAACAGTAAAGCGGATTGTTATCAGAAAGTTTCTGGCAGAAAACGATTTGAGAGAGAGAGAGAGAAACCATTCATTCGAAATTTCGAATCAAACCCTAACCAGAAACGCAAGTCAGAAGCAACCGTATATTGAATCGGAACCAAACACCAACCAGATTAGAATCAAACCCCAGCCCCGAAACTAAGCAAAATCCCCAACTGTTCCGCAATCCGAAAAAGAATAAACACATAAATTAAACCATAAAACAAACCTGATAGCTTCGACGGTGTGCTGGAGAAACGGCCAAATTCGGCGGGGAGAGCGAGAGAGAGAGAGCGAGCGAGCGAGAGAGAGAGAGAGAGACTGAAGTGCCGATTCAGAGAAGAGAACCAGAGAGAAGAGAGTCAAAGGTTCGCCGTGAATCGATGAGAGAGAGAGAGAGTCGGTCTAAAGGGGCATAGATATTGCCCGAACCCGTGGATTTACGTACCAACAAATGCACCTACCGAGTTTTTAGTAAATACACATTTTTTTGCTGATTTTAAAAAGCTGTTGTTTAATTAGAAGGGTAAAAAAACTTATAGTTTTTAAATTTTTAAAAAAATCATCTATTTTTAATTAATTATTTAAAATTATCAAATATGTATTCTAATTAAAAAAAACAATCTTTAAATTTAGTTTGCTTTAAGATGAGGTCACATATAAAAAATATTTTTAAAAACTAAAATTTTAAATAAAAACCAAATGAATATCTTAAAATAAATAAAATAATATCTAAATATTTTAAGTAATTATATAGTTATACATAAAAGTTTTGAAATGTATTTATATTTTATCATTTATCATCAATAACTACAAAACAAACTTTAAAATACTGTTTTTTTAATCTTTTTAACAGTGTATAGATATTCTCTTTATATTTTAAACTTGAACTTTTAATTGTAAAATATTAAATTTCAGATCTGGATCAATTCTAAAAATTTCGAGTATTAAGTGAGTAATCTTTCTTTCACTTAGAGATTTATCTCTAGTTTTATTTCAACATATATTGAGAATGAGATTTGATAAAAAAAAATATATTATAAAAGATAAAATTTGTTGAGATTTTTTTAAGAAGATTTTGATGATGAAATTCTCAAACTCAAAGTGTAAAAATAGGGTTTTTAGAATTTTTTTCATTTTTATATATGTAAAGGGATTTAGATATTTTCAGGATAATGTTTGATTAAAAAAATTTATTTTTCACTAAAAAGTTCTAGTGCAACATCATTTTAAAACAATATAAACATGAAAAATATCTTTTTTAATTAAAATATATACTTCATGATTTAAAATAATTAATTGAAAGTAGATGGATTTAAAAAAAACTATGAATGTTTTTCTGAGTTTATCCCTAATTAAAATCAATATAGATACCACAATTACATAACCTTAGATATTCTATAATAAATTAAAATAAATTTTATTAATAAAAATTTTCATCTATTTATAATATAAACTGAATTTATATGATAAAATATAGTTTTCAATTGAATAAAACAAAAGATTAATATGATAAAAGAAATAGATGTTTTAATAAATTAAAATGTAGTGGTAATATTTCTTGTATTTATGACATAAATTGAATTTATATGATTAAATATAAGTTTTTACTCAAATGAAACAAAAGATTAAGGGGATATTGACAAAAAAAACTATGTACTCTTCTTTCCATATCAACGAAAAAATCCTGTATTTTTTTGCTTAACAATTAAACCCTATACTTTGTGTGATTAACCTATAAAACCCCGACTTTTTAAAAATTCACCGAAAACATCCACGTCTACTTACTCAAACAAAAATGATGATATGACAATTACATGTCTTCCAAATCATGACCACATCATCATAATTATGTCACATCATCATTTCAAATAAAATTTAAATTAAATAAGTTATTTAAATTAATATATATACATACAAATTCACACACACACACAAATATATATATATATATATTAAATATAAAATTATTTATAACTAATAAAACACATGTACATATCTACAATATATATATATATATATATTATAAATAATATATATACATATTATTTTTAATAGATGTATAATATGTATATATGTTAGTTATAATTATTTTTATTTTAATATGTATATTATGTATGTATATAAAATTCATTATGATTACTTTTATAAAATATATATGTATATGTGAATTTATATGTATATATTAATTTAAATAATTTATTTAATTTAAATTTTGTTTGAAATGATGATGTGTACATGACTTGGAAACTATGTTATTGTCACATCATTATTTTTGTTTGAGTTGGAAGACACAAAACATTTTCGATGAATTTTTAAAAGGTTTGGGGTTTTATGGGTACAGAGTTTGGGATACATGATTTTTTTGACGATTTATCCAAAGATTAATATGACAAAAGAAGCATGAGTATTTAAAAACAAATAAATTGATGAGGTTAAATGTAATATCAATTTTGCAAAAAGTTGATTCGATTACATCGATTTATATTTTAAAAAATTGTTATTGCTCTGATCCGTATGATCAAACTGGCCATAGAACCCTTCTACCATTATAAATCATATTGTTAAAATACTCTATTGTTCTTTTCCCTCTAAATCATACATACATATATATATATATATGAAGATTTTGAACAGAATTATAATGAATATTATTCGATTTCTATTGGTTAGAAGTTGATCCATACGAACCACATGTAATTCATCAAACAAGCATATGGATTTCTATACAACACTTTGTGTCATTCAATACATTAATCAGAGTTGCTGTTGCAGGAAGCTCTTGAGGGCCTACAAAAAACAAAGGGCACCACCAAAAGCAACAACCACTTCTCATTACAAAATCTCTTTTTTTTTTTTGTATGGTTCCAAAAAGGGAATGTTAATATACAGTTTGCATTTACAACACAGCACCGCCATATTGGTGTGGTGATGTATGTATAGATTCTTCACAAGACAGTGTTGAAGTGAAGAGCTTTGAGGAGTGATGTCGCCATTTGTTTGACCAGAACCTGTCCTCCTCCTCCTCCTCCTCCTCCTCCATCTCTCCTTTCCTCTATCAGATTCTTCAGTTTCTGAGGAAGTTCGTTCTCTACTATTAGTTGTTTTGGTCGTGGATGTTGCTCGTACACAGCCTGAAATCCATTTCCATAACTTCAACAGAAGAAATGCATCTTCCTTTTTCTATATTCCACCAAAGCTATATATCGATTTCTCAATCAAACAGCAGTTTTTTATCCATATCGAAAGTAGGGGGAAAGCAGGACAGACCACCGACCTTGATAAGTTTCAAGAGATTAAGACGGGCAATGGCGTCTTGATGGTCCAGCCTCGCGATGAGTAATGGAGTTAACCCATTTACAGCTAAGGTCGTATTGATTCTACTTGATTTCCTGCATTAGGGAAGAAAAAAGGATTAGTGCTTCCAACTGCCGAAAAACACAATGTTTTACCATATGATCAATGATTGCGTGATGATGTGAAGAATACATACGTGAGGATTTTCAAGAACGGCTCCAACACATGCAGAAACTGTCTCTCTGGACAGGTCTGGAAGAATCTAACCAGTTTCTGAATCGCGTCCTTTTTAAGCAAAGCTTGTTCCACCTTCCGGTCATCATTGTCATGAGTCAAACAAACAACAATCGAATCTAAGGCTATCACACACCAGAACTCATCGTTGAGCAATCTCAAGCAAACATCTAAACCACCATGTGCCCTTAACTGCTCTCTTGAACTACGAGATGCATGAGCCATATCACATAATAACGGTAATGCATATTGTTTCAGAGGAGAGTCTGTCGTAATAAAATGCATCAGGTGTGGAATGATTCCATTTTCAGCCGCTTGTTCTTGCCTCCTCCTGTTTATCTTGCAGAGGTTGAATAGCGCGCTAAGCACCTTCAGAGAAAGGGTTTCAGAAACAGTAATGAGGAAACCGAGTTCATTTCAGGCTTATATTATAATTCTAATGACTTTCATTTTGTATGATCCTCCTGTTTGTTTCCATATAGGCCCATGAATGAGAGATATGATCAAGCGATCAGAAAAATAAAACTCAAAACTATAATCTTTCTAACCCTACAAAACATACTGCTTTTATATGCAAATCAAGAAGGTAACCTCATGATGGATTTGATACACAAGGGGTCCATCCTTAAGCTCAAGGTTGGGGATCAAATGCTTAATCGCATCTGCCCGCTGAAGATTCTCCAAGCAATTTGGATCAGTGGACAAGTGATTGATGCACTCCAATAACTGAAAAAGACCAAAAAAACATAATAAGTATGAGAGCATACATACAGTTAAACTACTCACACAAAAGGAAATATCAGAACATTTTCAGTACCTTCAGAAGGATAGGAGGCTCCAAGCAGTTGAACATCTGGAGAAGACGACTAAGCAAACTTTGGCTACACAAGTATGTTTTTACGGTTGTATCTGCTCGAGCAAATTCAAGGAGGAGATCAGCCACTTTTTCCAAGTATTCCCTGGCAATGTCTGCATTCAGTGTAGAAACCATATGGCCAAGTAAACCAGATGATGTGGCACTTCCAGGTCTAGCATTTAGAACACCTGAACCCGAGAGTACTCCAGATGCCGTCTGAGATAAAATCCCAGATGTAGAAGCAGTTCCTTCAGTAGCTGCAACCTTTTTTGTCACCGTTTTACTGGAATATTTAGCCACAGTATCAAGATTTCCATTTTCTCTTCCACGCCCAGAGACCTCTGAAGAAACAATGTAAAAAGATAGGGTTAGGGTGACGGAAAAATCAAAATATATGCCTCAGAAGAATCAACCGCACACCAAATATGGCCTTTCAGTCTAGCTGCATCCTTAAAACAAAATGAAGAACAAACAGGCCCAGGGAAAATATTTTTTGTGCCCCAAGTCTAGCCCCTAAAACTCTTGAAGATACATATCTTGTGAATTTGTAAGCCTAAATTGAATGTCAGGCATTGCTTTTCCAGAAGAATCATTAACCAGGAAAGATAAAAGACAAAAACTGGCCAGCTAAAAGTAAACCTTAGAAGTTACCTAAAAATTCAGCCATCAGAAAATCGAGTTCTTCATTAGTTTTCTTCTCATATGTTGCATGCAAAAGGGGAAGAATGTTTCCATGTCTTTCTACACCAGCGATGTGCTTTTCATAATCCAGTTGACCAGAAAAGTGTCTTAAAGGAGGTTCCTTCTCCAACAAGCTAAGCAAAGGTCGAACTTGTTCTGGTTGAGAAGCTGTTGCACCAGGAAAACCATTAGATGCACCTTCTGCCAACTTCTGAAGCCTGTCTGTAGATGTCCTCTTGGCAGAGAGAGATATCCTCTGCTGTCTAACATCAACTTCTGTGGCTGAAGTTGAAGCATCTGGTGCTACACTGCTTGATCTAGGCCTCTCACCATCCATGTCTGATCTTTGAGATTTTGAAGTAGAAGCAGGAAAAGGCTCTTCACCACTTCCATGCCTAGTTTTCGATGCATCAGGCTGATCAATAGGAGTGAGTGATATCTCATTTTGAATAAAAATGGGATGGTTAAGATCAAGTTGACCAGAGCTTGCTCGTGGAGCTTGACCATCCACAATCAGTGTGCCCCTTGATATAGAAGCCAGTCGAGTCGCCTCATTCAAGCTATAAAGAGTGTTGATCAACCTAAGCAGAATTCCATTCTTTGCAGCTATACGACAGAAATCATTTCTTGGGGTTGATCTCTGGAGCTTAAATACCTGCCACATCCCATCAATAGCTAAGTGAACCATCTCCCTGGACATAAAAGCTTGGATCAGCAGAGCTTATGATACCCATAAAGAACAGCTAAAAACAGAAGCGCTAGACAAAGAAAATGGTCATGCAGTGAGACACCGTAATTGATGTTCTACAACTAGGATGTGCACCAGAGATTATGCACAACAATTTGTTTGAAAAGAAGCATAATCAGAACTGAACGCTGCCTAAGACTAACAAATGAGCAATATGCATAACCCCATGAAGGCACAATAATACCAAGTCCTTAAGCTAACATATTCATTAGAAACTCGTACTAGTTTTTTCACTTAATACGCTAACACAAAGATGAAGAAGAAAAAATCCAGTCACCATAAGAGGACAATGCAAACAGTACACACCTGTATTTTGCGTAATCAGCTTCAAGGAATCCAACCAAAACGGGTATTCCTCGGCAAGCTATGAACATTTGCAGTGTCAAGGAACTGTAAAGAAGCTTTCATGTCAACCCCAAGCCTTAAGCAGCTAAATGAAGAAAAACAGCAAAAACTTGAAGAAAACCCATAACCTTGATTGACAAAGCTGCTGCAAGAAATAAGCAGCTTCCCTACGAAGCGAACGATCCCAATCAGGACCAGCAAAGCTCATGACAACAGGAATCTGTCATTTGACATGGAATAAATCAGATGATTATAGTACAGAGCAACCGTGAATTTGTGAACCCAGCAACAAGGTGAGGGCACCATGGATAAACTATCTAACAACCTCCCAACTATAGGCCAAGTGGACGCCTGATATATAATATTCCCACCTTAGAATAAACTAAAAATCTAACATCGTGAAATCAATTTAAAGTATCTAGACAGCTATACCAAGAACTATTCGGTAACTCGTCAATTAGAGAACTAAATTCATAACATAAGACTTACAAGGCCTACAAGACAAGCATTTTCCACGAAGTCTGTGTTATCTTTAATGATTTCGTTTATCAGCTGCAACACAGAGCATATAACCTGCGAACAGTGACACAAAAAAAAATGTTATCCTAATCATAAGCCACTCAATAATTGCAGCAAGTTGCTGACTACTGTCTACTGATGAAAGAAGACAATAAACCTGCCTATTACAAACAAGCTTACACGAGATTTGGGAATATCGAGCAGATCCATTAGAGGAAGGAAACCATGCCGTGTAACAAAAAGTGCTTTCTGCTCGGGTCTCTGGTGAAAAATACCAATAAGTTTCAGACAGGCAGATATTATTGCATCTTCAGATTCATCTGGCCTTAAGCAGCTCACCAACCTGCTAAACTCAACAGCCTAGCATGTAAATCGACACCAAATATCAAGATATGCAATAACTCGAAAACATGAAACAACAAAAAAAGATAAGAAACAAAAAGGTTTTCAATCCAACATTTAATTACAGATCCATCATATTTCCCCAGTTAGTGCAGGAACTTCAAGGTATAAAATTGCTGACTACCTGCAGAGGAAAGAGACTCTCCGCAGACAATTTTTCATTGAATACCTGAAAAACAATACTCCAAAAGAAATGTTAAATAAGATACTACAATTATAAAACCTGCATTTTTTTATTCAAGACATACCAAGCCATCAATGTCGATAACATCATCTTTTAAAGTACCCATCATCAAGCGGAAAAGGTTGCCATCATCATTTGACTGCCCTGTTTCACCCTCAATTTGTTTTTGAGCAATTGTAGCCCTCAACTTTGTCGCCAAGTCATTCTTTCCACCATTGGCCATAGGAGAATCGCCTTGGTTGACATTTGATGTGGGTGCAGATGTTGAGGGTTCATTTGGTTTTCCCTCAGTACCATTATCCAATGGATGAAACAAATCATCCAAAGAAGCATCTCCAGGAGGGTCACCAAATCTAGTCAGTTCATTCCCTCCAACATGTGATGAAGTCTTCACAGCCTTAAAAGTAGAAACAACGAGCATAAGAACCTTATCACGTGAAAAACAATTTGCTCGATATTGACGGATTCATATGCTTAAGCATGATAGGTCCCAACAAGAAAAAAAAAACTCAAACTCATTCCACCGGAGAATAATCTGAGTACGGAGGTTATGGGATATCCAAAACAAAAGTCTAAAGAGTAAAACCCAAACTGTTTGTTTTGATCAGTAAGAAACTTTGGAACATATCACTCAACCAAACACATAAACCAAGCATATTACCTTATCATTGGACAGATTATCTGAGAAAGTGATAGGATGAGACTAACCTTCTGAAGGTCATGATCTTGGCCCTTTTGTCCAAGCTCATGTGATGTCTGTTCAGCCAGGAAAGAGCTTTCGTTTCCCACCTGTTTTATTCCTACAAGATTTCTCCTTGTTTCAGAAGCTTCCACTTTACCAATTCCAGGTGTTTCATCATGGTCAAACTTCCCATGATACTCTGATAAATCTTGAGAAGTCATCTTTGCACCTGAAGAGATTGCGCTAGAGCCAGATTGAAGAGCAGATTGCACAAGAATAGAAAATGTAGGAACTTGATCTGACATTAGACCATCTTCTGAATTATCTGCTCTTTCCTCGTCAAGATCATTGGGGAAGGATTGATCCTTGTCAGACCTCAAACTAGCCACCTCCTCTAGAACTAATTTGCTTTTCAATTTCTGATGGAAAAAAAGGTCCTGTATCAGTAGCTTTAACAAAGTTCATCTCGACTATGCCTGGATGAAAAAGCAGCTCTAACTTCTCCCTATCTTCATCTTTGACATTTTGACTAATCGTAAATTAAGAATTTAAATATTTGGCTGAAAAATCTCACAGTTTTTGATATCCACAATTTTTCGGTTGGAAGGCTTTCAGCTGAACCTTCACCATCTTCATCAGCATTTTCTGATACTGCAGACGCTTCCTGAATATATCTGCAGAAATGAAATTCCTCACAGAAGAAGTTTTCAGTTTATTTAAAGCAAAGTGCACCCACACTATCTCTATTATAAGATACCTGATAATAAAACCCACTGGGTTTATCGTTTACCTAATGTCTAAAATTCTATCCAGGAATTAGCAGAAAATTTACAGGTTTTCACCTAATAGTTCCACTATGGCGGAGTGATGACTGCAATGCACGTCTAGAGTTCTGTATCCAGGGGTGAGAGAGCAGTGTCTTAGCATCAGGTCTCTGCCTGGCATCCTGTGATATGAAGATAGAAATCAAATATATCCACTGGATTTGAATAAATTAAATGTCCAGATTTCAGAACAGAGGCATTGTTAGAGAAACTAGTGCCCAAACAGTAACAAAAATAAAAACATAATACAAATCCAAACTCACCTTCTTAAAGCACTGGCATAGGAAGTCAGTAATGGCTGGAGACAGACTATCAGGAATTGGAGGGTGGGCATCCTGAATAAAAGAAATTGAAAGAAATGGTTTGAGTTGCTTCTTGCTAACAGTTTCTGATTATTCCAGGAGAGAAACTATATACAAGGAAGGATTAGGATAATTGAAAAATGGCTAAAATTTGTTTGACTTAAGCGAAGACATAAGATGTCTACAAAACCTGGACAATACGGTAGAGGGCTGCCATGGTTTGCAAATCATAGTAAGGAGGCACACACGTCAAAAGCTCGATAACCGTGCATCCAACACTCCAAATGTCAGAAGCTGTACAAACTCCTGACATTACAATAACCTGAAACAGAACTTGAATCTCCGTGAACACACAAGTAAGAATTCCATAGAAGAGGGAAAAACACATCACGGTAGAAAAGCAAAATAAAGGCCATTTTTTACTTTAAAATAGATATGTGCATCATATGCTAATGGCAAAGACATGTATCACTAAAGATGTACCTCAGGAGCCATCCAGTATGGTGTTCCTACCACCGAATGAGTGTTGACGTCAGCCTCATTTAGTTTAGTGGCAACTCCAAAGTCAGCAAGCTTGACAAGACTCTGAAGGATTAAGATAGTCAAGCATCACTCAAAGTAGCCTAACAGAATCTTATGCATCACCAAATTCAAAGAACACAACACATCTTGAACTAAATAAGAATTGAAGATATTTTAAACAGCATAAGACCATGGAGAGGTTGTCTTCCCGGTTCCCACTCTTAGAAACGACATGTGCCAAATTAATTAGTAAGATTCTTAGAAATTGCATGTACCAAATTAACTAGTAAATTTCAGAAGGAATAGAAAAACGTACCTCCTTGGTTATCAAAATGTTTGCACCCTTGATATCGCGATGAATTACACCTTGCTCGTGCAGATATACCAAGCCTTCCAAGACCTATTTCGCTAATTAGTACACAATGCAGAAAGAATCCATTTCACTAGAAGGGTATTTATGTATACTGACCTGAGCAATGTAATCAGCTACAATTGATTCTGGAAAAGGTCCAAATCTATTTGGTTTGATAATGTTAGCGAGTGAACCATTCTCAACATACCTGCAAACCATAACCACCACTTCAGTTTCCAAATCGTAGCCCACAAGCACAATAACGAATCCAAGCTTACTTACTCCAGAATAATATGAAGGTGACTCCTTGTCTTCAATGATCCAAGATATTTCACAATGTTTTTATGGTTCAAGTTCTGCATTGAAAAAGATCATCTTTAGACGGAGAAAGGGAAGAGAAATTATTGCGCAGAACCAAGAAATCAGGAAGTGTGAAGATGTTGAAATTCAAATGGCGATTGATTTGACTTCAGTTCCAGCATACTTAGCATCAGTATCACCTATTTATGGAACAGATTCAGCAACAGAGACAAATACAACTTCTGTCCAATGTCCATTAGCAGACCCATGCCCATGCTAAAATTAAAGAAAGCATCGTTGAAAAATGTCGAAGGCACAAAAAAGAAAGCAGCCATCTAACCTTCAATAGATCGATTTCTTGCTGGGGAAATCATCCCAACAGCCAAAACAGCATCCACATGTAAAACAATGATTCAGTCAGCAAGCGGTGAAAAGGAGATGAAAGTGAAACAAAGGATTTTGTCTAGAAAGGAAACAACATATGTAATGAAAAATCCATTTTTCGAACCATGATAATATTAAGATCCTCCTGAGCAATATTCTCCAACGAGACTTGCTTAACTGCCACAAAGTCCCTACTTTCCAGGTCTAATCCTTTGTAAACTCGGCTATAAGCTCCTCTCCCAATTTCATCTCCCAGCATCTGCGCCCAAAATCATATAATCAACTTCGGAATGCATACAATAGCAACGGAAATCTACCACCAGTGCTCGTAAAGTACAAGCTTTTAGCAGATGAAAAATCAAAAGAGCATAAAAGCCGAACAGTTCCAATTCCGCAATCTCGATTACAAAATCACCCATTGAACAAAAACCAAAAAGCAAAAGAAACCCTAAATTAAACCAGACAAAAGAAACGAACCCTCGATCGAAAAACCGAGGAATTGAGGGAATTAAATTAAGCTCACGTATTTGTTGTCGAGAGTCTTTGATCTGTGAGAGTGGGACGTCATTTGCCGAGCCATCTCTTCCCGCCTCCTCAGCCAAAAGATTACCCAACCGTTGCTCCTCAAGGAAACGCAAGAAATCGATCCATCAGGAGGGATAATTCACGTGAATTAGGGTTTAACTGAGGATTTGCGGGGAGACCCGATAAAAGGTAGGTAGAAGAAGATACAGTACTGAAAGTGACAAAACCAAAAAAAAAAAATTGAAATAAGGGTGAAAAAAGATACGTAGAGAGGGAATGTAAAGAAAGGCTCGAGTATTTTCCATTTTTAAAAAAATATAAAAAAAAATAAAATCACTGAATTTCATTTCATCGTCCCACTGTCCCATATCACAAATTAGTCTTATCATTTTTCCGAAACTTTAAAAAAAAAAAGATAAAAATAATTAGGGGAAAAAAGGACTAAAAAGTACGTAAACCTGGTAAGGATTTTGCATGTAGTGAAGAATGTATGCATGCAAGTCTACGTAATGAGATCAGCATGACGATGATAAACCAATTAAGAGTAGAGAGGCACAAAGCATTCTGCTTATAACTGCCTAGGAGAACGGTCTATGTTCTGCTCCCTTGCGTAGCTTTCGCCTCCTCTCTGGGTCGGGTCAGGCTCTGGGTCGGGCAGGGCTCGGGTTCTGGTTCGTGGTTTGATATAGGGGTGACATTTGATTTATAAGTGAATAACCGAATTGAATAATTGTAAATGAATCGAATTAAAAATAAAATCGAACGGTTATGATTTATATACTGAAAAAGTTTGAATATATATTTTTTTAAAATAAGTATATTTATCATAACATAACATGAACTGAATATAACTTAGTTGAATTCAATATAAAAATCGAACGGTTATAAATTTTTAAAATTAAAATAATCGAATTCAAATATAATCGAATCAAACCAGAACCGAAATCCGAAGAAGCCATTCCTAGTTTGATAGGGAGTGTAACTTCAATTTCTTCTCGGACATGCTTCTTTAATGGTTCAGACTTCTTCTTCTCGAATTCTTAGCTTAGCGTGGTAGCAAAATGTGCGCCGGAGAGAAAAACGAGAAATGAAAAAATCTCTTGATGGTTCTCAGCTAAAAATTTCTATCAAGACAAACGTAACTAAACCGAATTCGATATAAAAAACTGATTATTATGTTGTTTCTAAAACTTAAAAAATCAAACTTGAAACGAAGTAAATAAATAAAAACAATTTTTTTAAAAAAATAGGTATTTTTGTCAATAAGAACCAAACTCGAATAGGATCTAATAAAACTGAAATAACCAATCCGAATATAATCGAATCAAATCTCAACCATGATATTTGTTTTTTTTTAACTCTTTTACATTTGTATCCTTAGAAATAACTAATGTTTTCTTTTCGAACACAAAGAAAGAATATCACAAAATAGATCCTGATCGAATCATAAATCCGATTTTCAAATTGCCCAAATAGCTAATATGAACATATTGTGTCAATTATTTCCCCAAACAATATTATTTTGTCTTTTAGATTTGGTCGCCAAGCCATGAAATGCATTAAACAAATCGATTTATAAGCTTTAATCAAATGAAACATTGTTTGGTGCCGAATTCATTAGTTTCTGGGTCAGTTTTCAATTTTCAAAACTTTGAGACGCAAACACAATATCTTAACTTTTGGGGGGCGGAAATCAAATAACAAAAACATAAAGAAACCCTAATGACCCCGTTTGGTCTGAGACTATAAGGAGGAATTCTGTTCCTTCAAGCTTCTCTTCTTCTCACTTAGTTGCTGAGCCGCCTTCTCTCGATTTCGCCGCCGCCGTCGGTCCTTCGCCGGTAACCTTATTTCTTCTTCTTCTTCCATTTTTTTCTTGGATCTCAGTGGTTCTCCGGTGATCCAAGTTGTAGAATCTATTGCTTATATAGAGTCCACTGCAAAGGTTATTCTTCGGCGTTCCATGGAACGCCATTACGTTTGTGTGTATGTATATCTATGGTGATATTGCAGAGAATTTGAGGCATAAGTGGGGTTCTTTTTGGAGAAGAAAACTAGTACTTTAGAGTGGCCATTTCTTTTTCCTTAAACTATTATGATGATACGATGCATTATACATTTGTTGAATGTATTCATGCGAAGCTCGTTCATGGAATTCTTCTAGATTTAGATTTATTAAAAGGGTTAATGCTGTTAATGGATTCTGTGTCTCATTCATTGGTTTGGCTCTTGAAAAATGTATGACTGCTTGTATTCATCCGATGAACTTAGGTGTTCTCTTCCCATTGTTTCCCAGCAATATATAAGCTGTTTCCAAGCTTCATGAATAAGGGTCCTTGAGAAAGAATGGTTTTTCGATTGGATATAATGATGGGTTCTTTACAGCAGTGGCTCTCCATTGTTGTTTCTGTGATGAGCCATCTGCTGGTTGAAGCATCATATCAGTTATTTGCTTGAGGCAGACGAGCTTTATTTGGCGAAGTCATTGTGCATTCTGGATGAAGATTCTTAGTTTGTTGAATGGATGTGGCGTAATTTATTGGTTGAAAGAAATAGGAAATTTATTTGAAGTAACAGATGAAACATGTTTTCAGTTTTAGCTGTCGTTGGGTTTTCGTCTTTTCAGTTTGGGTTTCCAGAGTACGCGTGGTTAAACTCAAAACCCTTTTTTCATTGCCCTGATGAAACTGAAATCCGGTTATGTTCTTTGGTTCTGTTACACCCAGGAAAATGACTGAATCCAAGGTTGTTGTTCCTGAGTCGGTTTTGAAGAAGAGGAAGAGGCAGGAGGAATGGGAGCTCGCCAAGAAACAAGAGCTCGAAGCTGCTAAAAAGAAAAACTCTGAGAACCGGAAGCTCATTTACAACCGAGCTAAACAGTACAGCAGGGAGTACGAGGAGAAGGTAGAAATCCTCTATTGATTGTTTTTTGCAGATTCGCTATAGGGAAATAATATATTCATGGAAATTTGCAATATCGGTTTCTCCAGGAAAAGGAATTGATCCAGCTGAAGCGCGAGGCAAAGTTGAAAGGTGGCTTTTATGTTGATCCAGAAGCAAAATTGCTTTTCATTGTCCGTATTCGGGGGTATGAGATATTTAATATTCTTGAGTGAAGTGCAATGCTCTTCTGTTTACCAATTTCTTATGTTTTTCTCGTCTCTGTGTCATTAGTATCAATGCTATCGACCCGAAGACACGGAAGATTTTGCAGCTTTTGCGGTTGAGACAGGTTACCTTCTATCCTTAGGCATTTACCCGCTTAAAGCTTGTATGAACTAAACAATTGAATTATTCCTGACATGGATATTCTTTTTTGCAGATCTTCAATGGTGTGTTCTTGAAAGTCAACAAAGCAACAATGAACATGCTTCACCGGGTTGAGCCTTATGTGACCTATGGGTACAGCTCTCTCTTGTGCATCTTCCACTTCTTTTCTTCCAATTAAGTCACCGGTTTTTTTTCGCAAACTAAGCCCCCTTTTCCACAGGTACCCCAACTTGAAGAGCGTGAAGGAGTTGATTTACAAACGAGGCTATGGAAAGCTGAACCACCAGAGGATTGCCTTAACAGACAACTCTATCATCGAACAGGTGAAGAACATTTCCTCTCTTGTTTTTTGTAGGTCTTGCTCAAAGCCAAGTTATGATCTTGACATCACCTAACTTACATTTGTATCAAACCCTGTTTAACAAATGGGTTTATCATTTGGCACAATATATCCACAATGTCTGAATCTGATAGCTAAGGCTAAAAAATATCAATGTTCGAGTATGAGCAGTCAGTCCCTTGGTAAATACTGGATAATATGCATGAAGGATCTGATCCACTGGATCGTGGGTTTATCATTTTGGCATTATATCCACAATGTCTGAATCTGATAGCCAAGGTTAATAGAAGATGGATGTTTCGAGTATTGAGCAGGCACTTGGGAAATACGGGATAATATGCATGGAGGATCTGATCCATGAGATAATGAGCGTCGGACCTCACTTCAAGGAAGCCAACAACTTCCTGTGGCCATTCCAGTTGAAGGCTCCACTCGGGGGATTGAAGAAGAAGAGGAACCATTACGTTGAAGGTGGAGACGCTGGAAACAGAGAGAACTACATCAACGAACTCATCCGCAGAATGAACTAAGCCTCTCTCTCTAGTCAAGGCTTTTAAAAACGTGTGTTACCTTTTTTTTTTAATCAATGGTACTGTTTTTTTTTTTGTGTTATCAGATTTGGAATTCTGGATTCATGTGGTTTTTGTTCTCTCGTTTCTTTTATAAACTATAAGAGAAAAGACTCTCATTTTATTCCATTTTCCGATTCGAGCTAAAACTAGGGGACTATGGTTGAAATCACCTTTGCAAAATTCAAAATATTATCATCTTAATCCCAAATTTAATCCCAAACTTATTTGAAGTGGACTGTATAGATTCTTTGTTTTCATTCATTTCGGTTTTGCGTTAACTTTTTTTGGAATATCCTTCCGTTTCTCTTCACTCCATTTCTAACCAGCTTGATGACATTAACTTTAGTATGTACATATGTATACCATATGGACGTATGTATCTATATATAGACGAGGTTACACGATGAAATTCGGCTAAATACGACCTGAAGAAGTTAACAGGAGGAACATTTATGACTTCAAGTTGGGCCTAACAATAGGCTCATTAGTGAGATTAAGTTGGGCCTAACATATATGTGTATGTATACCATGAGTCCATGACACATAAATGTGTAACATTATTAAACAAAAAAAATATACAAATGCAGTAAATAAATACATAGTTATAGTGTTATTGCACTTTTAGGATAATTTGGCCATGACTTTCATGACCTTCCGTACAGTTTCTTTGAAACTGTTGACCCCTACGAAGAGAAAGGGTTGAGGGCTGCATCCCAATTTTCTTTTTTTGTAATTCGAAAGTTTATCAACTATATTTCTCGGACATTTTTTCCAACTACATCTCAAAAAATATACGGAGAAAATTTTTATACCACAATTAAATTATGCATTTTCTCTCCAACCGTCACTCGAATATAAGACATGAATAAGAATATCCCAACATTTTTCAACCATCTACATCATTCGGTTATCACGGATTGGTTTATGTTGTATTGCATTGCGTGGACCGACCCATCATTTTTTTTTTGTTAAACACCGACATATCAAATTTAAATTTTGATTTTCACTTTTTGCCGTTTTTTTACAATCTTCATGTGTATACACTTGATAATAAGTAGTGGTTATTCTAATTTCAGCGGGTGAATTTAGTTAACTAATAATAACGATATCCCAATAAATATAAAGCATTGAACTGATGTTTGGAAATAGTCCTTAGTTATATATTCCTTTAAAAATACTGTAAGAACATATATATATATTTGAATTGTCATGTGATAAGCATACAAGAGTATTCGGCTAAGATTATCAATTACGTTTGTAACAATAATAATAATAATAATAATAATAATAATAATAATAATAATAATAATAATAATAATCATCAATTATGAAATTCACTTTGGAATGATTTATTGATGTAACATATATATTCAAGAGGAGATGGATTGTTAGAAAACTAAAATTATTTGTTTTATATGTGTATGTAATGTAAGTCGTAAAAGTAAAGATGGGGTCGTTGACTGGTTTTCTTCTCTAAGAAAAAGGTCATATAATTTAATTTGCATATATAAATACAATCCAACATTTTGGACCAAAACAATAAAATAAATAAATACGTTCAATTAATTTTGGAGTGAATACATATTATGCGGTGTAGAAATCTAATAAAATATTAAATCAACAAAGAAGAACAAAACATGCATTGATTATTCACAATGTAACCGCTAATTACAGAAACATATTCTTGCGTTAATTTTTTTTTTTAAATCAAAAGCTATTTTATAAAACTAAACAGTCTGATGGGTCCTGTTTATGTAGCTAAAAGCCCATCAATTATGAAATTCACTTTGGAATGATTTATTGATGTAACATATATATTCAAGAGGAGATGGATTGTTAGAAAACTAAAATTATTTGTTTTATATGTGTATGTAATGTAAGTCGTAAAAGTAAAGATGGGGTCGTTGACTGGTTTTCTTCTCTAAGAAAAAGGTCATATAATTTAATTTGCATATATAAATACAATCCAACATTTTGGACCAAAACAATAAAATAAATAAATACGTTCAATTAATTTTGGAGTGAATACATATTATGCGGTGTAGAAATCTAATAAAATATTAAATCAACAAAGAAGAACAAAACATGCATTGATTATTCACAATGTAACCGCTAATTACAGAAACATATTCTTGCGTTAATTTTTTTTTTTAAATCAAAAGCTATTTTATAAAACTAAACAGTCTGATGGGTCGGTCAAACGAGACAACACCGGTCAAACAAGGTTGACTGGGGAGCAATAATCCAGTGTGGGACGGTGCACCGTTTCCAGTGGTATGGTGCTCGCTTCACAGTTCACACTCTCAATAGTCATCGTGTCGGTGCAGTCTGAACCAACCGCGTTTGCATTTTTTCCCTCTCTATTTTGTATTTTTTTTGTGATTACTCAAAAAAAAAACGAGTAAAATTATATATTTATAAATTTTTTTAAGGGTTAATTTTAAGATATTTTTGCGTTATAATTACTAACAAACATTACTTTTAAATTAACGATTGTTTTTGGCAATTTGAATCAATTTACTTATATAACTAATGATCTTTATTCCCTTTCGTTGTTATTGGATATATGAAAACTAAAAGACGATTTTATCCTTGAGGATGATCATGTCTGTCATGGTACTTAAATATAAACGGTCTAAAATTTAAATATACGGGGAAGAAAGATCTGACATATGGTAGATCGTTTTCAAATAAAATTTCTTTTGAAAAATATAATGGAATTTGATTTTTTAGAGCAAATGATAGAATGGGATATTACATATATATAAAAATATTATGTACCAAGGTGTATATATGTGTATATATATCGGTGGTTCTGGTGTCCCATAAATGCTAGTTTGATATTATTAAAAAAAAAAAGATTGTGCAAGCTACACAAAGATAATTCAGAAATATTATGTCAACATTTTCAGTTTAATAATAAGTATATTGTAAAAAAAAAAGAGATCGATAATTCAGAAATAAAGTAATTAATCTGTTAAAAGTTTGTAAAATAAAGTGGGTATTCACATTAGCAAATGCGGTTGTCTCTGTGTACGGCACATCACTTGGTGTGCAAATCTAATCCGTACAACATCATCAAGCCATTTTAGGTAAAAATAATAAAATCATGTAACGGTTAATTAAATAGTTCGATGCGCGAATATTACAAAAGTCTAACGTGCTTGAAATAATTGTATGTTGCTAAGGAAAAAAAAATGTGTATTGAATTAGATGCATGTAATCATTTTCTGTGCCATTACAAGAAAAATATAGATGCTAAAGATAATAATGATATATATATATATATATATATAATAACATATTATTATTAAACCTATTTGAAAAACATATTAAATTTAAGGGGTCAATTTTGACCTGACTAATTTTAGATCAGACTCGTACCAATTTCGGATCAGTTTAATTTAAAAAAAAAAAAAATTTGGAAGAACAAATTTAATGAGTCGATCCGATCCGAACCCGAATCCAAAGTATATAAGGTCTGGTTTCGAGTTTGGTGATTTAAATCCGAAAAAAATCGGACCGGTTTGAATCCGAATCTAAAACCTTGAGAGACTAAGTGCAGATTCTAGTCGGGCCAGCCTATTAAATTGATCGAAGATTCGTAAATGCAGCAATTAATTTATCCGTACGTTACGTACCCAAAGAAGTAGTTGTTCATTACCATTGACGAATTTCGAGATACCGAACCGACACGATTTGTGGAGCTTACAAGTGCTAATTAATGCATTCAATCTATTCTAATATATATATATATATATATATATATATATATAAGTTAGGGCAGAGAATAAAATCAAAGGAAATCATAGTTTAATGCCATGTCTCCATAATCCCCGATAATAAGGTGCGCCCGAATATATACATATATATATATATATATCAGAGGCCGGTTCAATATATATAGTATAATATTTATATACATTTATATTTTTTATTTTTTAAAATATAATCATAAGTATTTTTGGTTATAATTTTAAAATTAAATTAAATAATTTTATAAACATTTTAGAATTTTATAAATATATTCACTAATTGATAAATTTTAATTATATGAAAAAATTAATATAGATATTAGTAAAAAATAATTTATATTATTTATCATAATAAAAAGTTACAAAAAGCGAAAACACATCAATAATTAGTAATACAAATTAAGAATAACTTTCATTTATAAAAAAAACTTGGTTATAATACTCTTTAAAGTTTTTTAAAAACACATATTTGACTAAAAACTAAAAATTATTTATATGTGTTATCAAAATTTATTTTTATTGTATTTCAATATTTTAAAATTCTAAATTATTAAGATATAGAAAATCCACCGTAATTTAATCACATTTAATCATTTTATTTTTAAATTTATCACATAATTTCCTTTTTTCAAAATCTTAATAATTATTAATTTTTAAAAATAATATTTAAAAAAAAGTGGGGAACCAAATGGTAAATAAACATAGCATAGATGTGTTACAATAAAAATCGGAGGATGAAATAGAATTGAAACCTGATATTATATCGTTTTCGGGCACCAAATTGACAATTTAATTATGAAAACAATACAAATATAAATTACATAACTCTCTTTGATGCCTTTTTTAACTGCATAAACGACATCGTTTCTTTCCACACAAAACGACAACGTATGTCACCGGCCACGGGATTTTTATCCAATCCGATGGCTTCACGATAAAATGGCTGCGACATCATATATATATATATATATATAAAAATTCTAAATTATTAAGATATAGAAAATCCACCGTAATTTAATCACATTTAATCATTTTATTTTTAAATTTATAACATAATTTCCTTTTTTCAAGATCTTAATAATTATTAAAATTTTAAAATAATATTTTAAAAAAAAGTGGGGAATCAAATGGTAAATAAACATAGCATAGATGTGTTAGTCAGATCGTCACCGCAATAAAAATCGGAGGATGAATTAGGATTGAAGCCTGATATTATATCGTTTTCGGGCACCAAATTAACAATTTAATTACGAAAACAATACAAATATAAGTTACATAACTCTCTTTGATGCCTTTTTAAGTGCATAAACGACATCGTTTCTTTCTACACAAAACGACAATGTATGTCACCGTCCACGGAATTTTTATCCAATCCGATGGCTTCACCATAAAATGGCTGCGACATCATATATATATATATATATATATATATATATATATATTTAAATAAAATAAATCGAAGTACAGGTAAATACATCTATGCGATATAGTGTCGTTTTATAAGCAAACCTCGAACGTTCCATAGCTCAGCAACAATATAGTTAATTAAATAATATTATTATATATAATTCAGCAAATTGTTATTTTGTTTCAAATATTTTGTTCTTATTAACGCACGGTTTTCCTGTATAAAGCGGATCTGAACACTTGTGGGTAGGGGTGGACGTTTCGGAAAACGGTTCGGATTCGGAACGGAATAAATCGGTTCGGTTCTTTCGGTTTTACAAAAATAAGTACCAATCGGATTATTTATTGTATTCGGTTCAGTTCGGTTTCGATATCGGTTCGGTTCGGTTCCGGATTTTATTAAATAAATAATAGATTTTCTTTAAAAATATTCGATTTTTCGGGATTTTTAAAGTTCGGTTCTGGAAAAATTCGGTTCTCTAAAAATATTACCATTCGGAAAATAATAGCGGTTTCAGATCGAAAAAAATACCGTTTTAACGGTTCGGTTCGGTCCAGTTCTAGTTGTGGGTGGCTTTCAAAAGGAGGAAGGAAATTTCATTGAAACCATATTATTAGGTCGAAAATAATATTATTTTAATAATCTAAAAATTCACCCCACCACGTGTGCAATTACGTCACCAACAACTAGGGTTGAGTCAAATATTAGTTTGAATCATAAACTTGGAAGTCACGGCATTCCATTAAAGATAAATTGACTTAGGAAATGTCTTGCATTGCATGTAATAAATAATCCATGGAAAGTGTGAAGAAAATGTCAAAACGACCAATCCATATAATATATATATATATATTATTAGGGGAAAATAGAGATTATGAACAATTACCCAAAAGAATAAGATTAACAACTGGAAACACAATTTATGCGACCAACGAGATTATTTTAAAAATTATATCTCGAATAAAATCATGGGTTTTATTCGATATTATATATATAATATTATTTGTTTTAGGAGATACTGTATTTGTAAGGTTAAATGGTGAAAATTAATTTGAATTGGAACTTTTAAATTAACCTCGTATGAATATATTCCGACTCTACCAACACGTGTTTGGAAAAATCCTCTCTCTCTCTCTCTCTCTCTCTCAACGTTTCTCTTTCTGTCTCCTTGACGCCATTCTATATAACTCCATCGCCGAAGAGCTCGTAAGCTTCACACTTGCGTTTTTCCAGTGTTCAAATAAGGAAACAGAATAGAAAAAAGTAACCTAAGAATCATCGGCGTGAGGAACAGAAGATCCGAGAGGGAACGAACAATCGGAAAGTTTCGACATTTCCGGAAAGATTTGCCATTATCTCTGGCCTCGTCTTCAAGGTAATAACGCCTCCTTGGCTGTTTGGATACATATCTTGTTTGCTCTGTTCATGCCTGCGATGTTTCCCATAGTTTGTTTCGTGATGTTTTCTTGAGATGTTTTTTATCAACAACCAGATTTTACTCCACCAGAAGTGAATTTTGGTGATGGGTTTCTGTAAAAAAAAATTGATTTTTATGGATAATCTATCGTATTTCTGTATGGGCTTCGAGCAGCATTTTATCGTTCTTAATATTTTACTCCACTGCCTCTCTCTGGGTTTAGCAATTCCAGTGGCTCAATGCTCATCAATTTACCGGCATACGATGTTTTAAATTTCGAGATAAATCTCGTTTATGGGTTTTGTGTTTGACGATTATCCATTGACCACACTCTTAGTTGTGATTTATTTGCAAGATTCTTCAACTTGGTCATCGTGTCTCGTAGATCCGCTAAGTTCTTGTTGTTGTTCTGTTTTCGCCTTAAATCTTTTGATCCTAAGGTGTTTGTCAAAATGCTCCTATGAGTTTAGGAAGCCCTTCCTCTGTATATGTGTAAATTGCACAGCTTCCTGATTTTTTAACTCCTGCTCCGATTGTTTTTCATGGCAGAATTGTTTTAGGATCAAAGATCTGAAGATTTCGGTTGAATGGGTGGCTCTTTGTCTTGCCCATTTGCCGAGCACGACGATGAGGAAGCTAGTTTGAAATCTGTCAAAGTGAAATCCATAAGTTTTGGAGACGATGAGTGTAAAACTCCGACAAGATCTGTCAACTTCAACGACAGAACAATGGAACCCACGATTCTGAAATCTATGGGATCTGGGAAAATGGTTGTGGAAAGATCAGTTAGCTTCAAAGGGAGGCAACTGGAGAGGATGATTTCGTTGAACAGGTCTCTCACAAAAGAAGATCATAAGAAAGACAATGGCTTTGTCTTTGAGATTGATCAACTGGGATCAGACAGGAAGATGGAGATTGTCAGAGAATTGCCCGTTTTGGATCAGAAAATCCCGAAACACGAGGCTGCCATCAAATTGCAGAAAGTTTACAAAAGCTTCCGCACCAGAAGAAAGCTCGCTGATTGCGCCGTTCTGGTGGAGCAGAGCTGGTAAGTTCTCTGTTCATTTGAAGCCTGTAAACCTAATATGGAAAGTCTCTGGTGGTTTGTGGCTATATTGGTGCTTTTCTTCTGAACCACAGGTGGAAGCTCTTGGATTTTGCTGAGCTGAAGAGAAGTTCTATATCCTTCTTTGATATCGAGAAACATGAAACCGCGATTTCTCGGTGGTCAAGAGCAAGGACCAGAGCAGCTAAGGTGAAATACCTGAGTTACAAAGATTATACCTTTCCGATCATTGTTTTTTAAATTTGTTTCACATACTGACTCTCTGTTTCTTCTGAATTTTATAGGTTGGTAAAGGTTTGTCGAAGAACGGAAGAGCTCAAAAGCTTGCTTTACAACACTGGCTAGAGGCAGTGAGTTGAATTTTGAACTCGATAATCTTTTCTCCTCGATTTCCTTGTCTTGTTGTGTGTGATGTATTCTGATGTTATTACATGTTTTTTTTTGCTGAACAGATCGACCCAAGACATCGGTATGGACACAACCTTCACTTCTACTACAACAAATGGCTCCATTGTCAAAGCAGAGAGCCCTTCTTCTACTGGTACACTTAGTTCTCACCAGTGTAGTGTTTTTCCTTTTTATCTGCCAAACACAATGTGTAGAATTATGAAACTGAGCATATATGTTGGACTGATCCAAATGTGCAGGCTTGATATTGGAGAGGGAAGAGAAGTAAATCTCGTGGAGAAATGTCCCCGATGGAAACTTCAACAGCAATGCATAAAGTACCTTGGTCCGGTTAGTATCCGTGTTTTTTTGTGTCTACTTGATGAATTTCTCGATAAAAAAAAAGTAGAACGTTTTCTTACTTTCTTCCTGGTTTTGTGTCTGCAGATGGAAAGGAAGGCCTATGAGGTGGTTGTGCAAGACGGCAAATTCTTCTACAAGCAAACTGGAGAGATTCTTCACACCAATGCTCCAGAAGATATCGATTCTAAGTGGATTTTTGTTCTCAGCACATCGAAGATGTTATATGTCGGGAAGAAGAAGAAGGGTAAGTTTCAGCATTCTAGCTTCTTGGCGGGTGGAGCCACTGTTGCAGCCGGAAGATTGGTCATTGAAAATGGTGTTCTTATGGTATGGTTATACATATCCGATATATCTACCCGATATATCTTATATCGTTCTTTATTTATATTCCATTTGGTTTCTGCAAGAGTTTAAGTGTTTTGCCCCTTTGGTGCTTCGAAACAGGCGGTTTGGCCTCACAGTGGGCATTATCAGCCAACGGAAGAGAACTTCATGGATTTTCTTGCCTTCCTTCAAGAGAACAACGTGGATATCACCGATGTGAGGGTAAGAGAGATATAAGAATATCGTCATGTTAAGATTATAACGAGTTTTCCTCTTGTGATTCTTTGTTCTTGAGAATGGCTCCCAAAGATTCTGTTCTTGAATATTATGTTTTTTTTTTTGTTTCTGTTCAGATGAGTCCAACGGATGAGGATGACGAGTTCTCCATTCACAAACAAAGAAGCAGTTGTATGAGAAACCACTCCTCGGAAGAAGATTTAACGCAAGGGTTGGACTGTGTAGAAACTTTAAAGAGATGTACCTCTCGAGACAAACCCGTTTCAAGAAAAGAGGAAACGACTCCGGAGACGAAACGTTCCACGTTTAGGAAGTTGGCAGATCTTGAAATACCGAAAAGGGTCGAATCTTTTGGCAGATTTGGTGAAGGAAAACGATCAGTGGAGCCAAATCCTGACCAAATCTCTGAAGGGTATGACTCGGCAGAAGAAGATGAGGAAGAGATTCTTGACAAAACAGACCAAAAACCAAAGCCTCTGGACTCGAACTCTACCGGAGAAGAAGAAAAGAGGGAGCGAGGAATGGTGAAGATTCCGGAAGAATCGATCCGTGAGAGGATAAATTCCAAGAACAAAACTAAATCATTTCAACTCGGGAAACAACTGTCTTGCAAATGGACAACAGGTGCAGGGCCAAGGATCGGTTGTGTAAGAGATTATCCGTCTGAGCTTCAGTTTCAGGCACTGGAACAAGTGAACTTGTCTCCAAGAAATGCAGTATCAATCTCCAGGCATTGTTTCTTGCCTCAATCTCATCCTTCCCCTCTGTGGAGAGGTTCTTCACTGCCTGTGGATATTACTACACATCATGACTGAGAATTTTACCTTTTTTTTTTTTTTTTTTTTTTTTCATTTCCCCCTTTTTTTTTTTTTTTTTTTTTTTTTTTTTTTAA